ACAAAAGGTAAAATTCCACAAAAACTTTGAACACGTTGACTGTCATGTCATCATATTTGGTGACACAGTATTTTCATAGAAATCCTTTGGCAGCCAACGTGTTAATGTATTTATTAATTTAGATACCTATATTCAATTAATCTGTCTCTTTTGTGATGTTATAATTTTTATTATTATAGGCCTTTAAGAAAGTAGAAGAAAATCAGATAACTAAGCATATTAATCTAGCATGATCTATAATTCACACTCAAATTTTACAGTTTTAACAAATAACAATAACATTAGTAACAATCATAAAAATAGTAATTTAGCGTCCAATTATTGTGGGCTCATCAGCCATAGCAATTTCTTCAGTGGGTGCTTTATCTCTCTTTCTCTTCTTTGAGAAAAGCATGAAGGCAATGCCGGCCACGAAATTGCATAGGAATACAATCCATGCAAGGATGAGAGAGTAATCATACTTTAGCAATGCATTTTTTGGAAAGGTTTCCAAGACGTGGATACTCTCGTATTTTATTGATGAAAGCAGAACCTGTATCACCACCATGTTACAAGCAGCTAGAAGAAAATTAATATAAAATTATTTAATACAAAGTAATGCAGTTAACATGAAATTAATATTATAAATAAACACAATTTCAAAATTAATTTATTGTACTAACAATGTAACTAATATACTGCGCAACAAAATTAACGCAGCAAAAATTTGTACCAAAATTTCATTCAACTTCAAATAATTGTAACTTCGTGAAAACTTATCGCATTAAAAAAATATTATTTTAAAATTAGAAATCTTCACTTTCAAGAGAATTTTTCACATTTTGAATATCTCTGTTTCCCTTATCGTGATCTCTTTAAAAGTAAAGACGTGTCTGCAAAACTTTTCGTAGTTTGACGCGCTTCACGAGGTGCGATGAATTTTTTTCGCAAATTCTATAAGAACCATTGTAAAATATGAATTGGCCGACGGGATATGAACGGGCCGACGGGATCGCCATGTTGGGCGACTACTTTTAATAGATTATACAATGCAATAAGTATCGTACAGTTAGAAGAATACAGTCGTGTCAAGCGTCTGCGATTATCTGTTGACACTAAATATTCTTTGGTGGCTGAAATCGCGCAACTCGAAGGTCTGAAGAAACGCGTGGGAAGCGATTTGTGTATTTTGACAGTGATTACGCGAATGCCGAACATTCTTCTACGGGACATTTTAGTGGTGGTGATATTTTCGCGAGTGTAGGACCTTTTGTGAGACATTTTGGCGGCGGTGATTATACGAGTGCCGAACTTTCCGCGGGACATTTTGGTGGTGGTGATGATTGCGCGAGTACCGATCCTTCCGCGCAACTTTCGTCGTGAAAGATCGACACCACATTTAAGAATCGTGTGTTGACCGGCGTGATAATCAACGTGGACTATATAGAGTCGCAAAAATTTCTCGAGGACGCGTGCAGTGAGTGCTCGAACATATACTAGACGCTATCGAGGGCTACAATTGTGTTAGAATAAAGAGCATGTTCTATGGTGAATTCATAGCAAAGGACATGCGCGCTAACAAGAGTTTAAACACGAGAAACTGTAATCTCTGTTCCATATAATAGGTTTGCGCGAATGGTACGAGTTACACGTTATCGAGCTTACCCTCACAAAACTCGAAGAGTTCTAGGAACGCGATAGCGAATAGGCACTGTCACGCATCCATCTCACCGTAAATATTATATTAATAAGTACAATCCTATGCGTGTGGGATGTAACATTAAAGTGCCGGATATATTGTATAAAACTTAAAAAACCAGTGATCAACGTGCAAACAACAAACAATGCATGCTTCGCGTGGTCGTCGCTCTCTATCCAGCTGATAGACACGTACTGTTTATGATTATGAAATTATCTTTGTATCGACGAGCGTATATTAGAAATATAAAAATATTTTTGGGGATATTAATTACCAGTTATGAAGTGTATTCCTCCAGCAAGACGTTTAAACATGTAGCGCGGATTTAGGAATGTGTAAATTGAAAAGCAGAAACCCATGACCATTATGAAAAGACTGATCAAGGCAAACGAGACCTCACTCCTAGCGAAACCTGAAAATTAAAAAATTCATACAATTAAACTTTGAGCACCCTTTTGTTAAAGTACGAGGTAAAAACATTTAAGACACCGCTCTATTCCTGATACTATCGTTTCTTCCATCGAACGTAAAGATTAGAGGAATTCCATTACTATACTTTACATTGGTAGTGTTAGCGATGCGATTAGCCGAATTTTAAGAAAACATGAACTAAACACCCAGTTTTCAGTACTTAAAATTTTAAATGTGGCTGTCAGGAAAGGAAAGGATAAAATCATAGACTCTAAGCAGACCGAACTTGTATATAGAATTAATTATGCTGATTGTGATACGTTCTACATTGGCCAGACAAAAAGACACATCGAAACGAGAATTAAAGAACATCGCAATGATGTCAAAAACACGATCAACCTCCAGCAAGATACGGACAATCTTAACTCTGTTCTTTGTTGCAAAGTTACCGCAGCGTTGCTGCAAGCTTGTGTGTTGTATGGGATATGTCGGTAATATTTCCTTAATATATATTTGATTGTAATATGTAATATTGTCAACATATTGCAATATTATGTGCTACGTGGGAGATCAACTTCAATATTTTTAAAAGATAACATACTCACTCAATATTTTTTCGTTTAAACTGGGATCCAGTTTCATTTGTATTTCTGTTGGAAACATGTTGAAATATTTGCATTCATCTGAAATGATAACATATATAAACATATATTCATCATTTTATTAACAAAAGTACGGAAATAAGCTTTAATACAGTTTTTACTATAAAATTTAATATTTAATTACATATATGTATAATGTATAATTATGTTAGTAATGATTATTTTTAAGATTTGAAAAATCACAGTTTGTTGGATAAAAATTCATGAAAGCATTTTTGCAATTCAATTTTTCAAGAAGTTTTTCTACACATTTTTATTATACAGGATATTTCATTTTAAATGATCCACGCAAATATCTCCAAAAATATATAATAAAAGATATGGAAAAACGTTTCAAACAAAAGTTGTTTGGCTCGAAGAGGGATGTAAGGTGGTGCCATTGACTTGATCTTGGATAGTCATTTGAAGTCTTTTTAAATATTATTACAATATTATTAAAAAGTCACAAATTGTTGTATTGATCCATAGTTCTGCACATTCAAATAATTCACGTTTGTGCATTCCAGAATTAATAAAAATTTTACAATTTCACAATTTAAGATATGACATGCACAAAAAATATTTTTCTGATTTAGTGTTGTTTTATTTTTAATGTCCAAATAATTTCAAAATATTCTAAAATAAATCGCACTTACTATAGGGAACTAGATACGTGACATTTTCAGGATTAGGTGCCAGTCCAGTAATACAGCTTCTCCAGAGGCCTGCATGTTTGTAGATCAATCTTCTACCATTTGTATCACTTCTCAATGGCAAACCATCATTATTCGGTGATTTTAGTATAAACCAATGATCAGTTCCTATAGCCACGGACCATATGCATACTGAGAGTCCCACGAGAACAGTGCAACTCAGAAGAATTCGTCTTTCAAAGATAACCTATGAAAAAAAATTTTATAATTTATATTGTTAAGCGTGAGGATGTTAATTAATGTTCACTTTATTTTAATTGGCCGTCTTGTTCAGTTTTTGAAGTATTTGACAAAAAATGTTTACTAAAAAGAACCTAATTTGGTAACATCATGTACATTCAATAAACAAACGTAATCTCGGCAAATTTATTTATTTAAGAGGATGCTAAAGTCGTCTGTATTACCGACGAAATTATAATAAATTTTTAATCGAGCTTTTTATTGGCTTTGCAGAATCAAAAATCCTTTTGCAGGATTAGATATAATTTGTCTGTTTAAATTTCTGTCACATAAATAATATAATCACTCATTTTGTCTATCCAATACTTATATAAAGATATACATATATAATTTACATACATAACACAGTACAAACTAATCTTAATTTCTTAAAAACCGATTGATCATTTTCAGGTCGCAAATAGATGCTCAACTCGTTACATTAAAGTCGCAAAATACACGTCACTACAACGTTTCTATCTCCAAAAATTTGGCTGTTAGTTACGTGATAGTGACGTGGTAGTTACGTTTTAAATTTACATCGATTCGACATCGTTTCAACATCGATCGACAAATCACTTCTCATTAGGGTTGGTCGGTTTACAGTCCGCAGTACATACAGACACGGCCTTTTTCGACAGTTTCGCCGTTTTGTCACCGTCGTCGCCGCGTACTTTCCAATTCCAGCAGACGCAAACAGAAGGTCTCGCTTTACAAGACCGAGCGACTCATTGTCAGACTCCGGGGTGGACCACGGAGGAAAGCGGTTCGAAACCTGAGGAGCCGTACGTGTATATACAATGCTTTATTTTAATCGCCCCAGGCAAATATCTCGAAGAATATGAAAGATATGGAAAAACGTTTCAGACAAAAGTTGTTTGGTTCAAAGGGGAACATAAGATGGTGTCATTATTTTTTTAAATGAAACTTCTTATTGTTCATTATATATTCTTGTAGCTTACCTCAAAGCTTTTCAAAATAATATAATAAAGTGCATTTTTATTCAATATTTTTTTAGTTATGAGTCTTGAAAGTTTCAGTACCGCCGGCATTAGCATTGAGTGAGTCCCAGTTACGCACAGAATAAATCGGACACAGGCACAATCGGACACAGTAAAAAACGGACACACGATGGTTGCAATCGGACACAGTGACAATTGGACACCGTTTACGATGTATTACAACGAACATTATATTAATTTAGATTTTATTGGAGAAATAGAAAAACAAAAATTTTAATATTGTCATAGTTGTTAATAAAATATGTCACATTATCTCAGAAAATGTGCTAATAATCAATTTATTGATTCGAAAACAACTCGAGAAATAAAGACACCATTTTTTATAATATACATTAATTTTATTTGCACAGTAAAAATTTGTTACAGATATTACAATAGGCTTGTTTTCTATTGCTGCACTGATGAACTGATGCAATAAGTACAAGTAAGATAAGTATACGTTTTTTACTCTAGCTTACAGCAATAGAATCCACACAGGCAACATATAGGGTAGATTTTACTGGTAATAATTTTGTTGTTTAGATTCCATTGTATACCATTTCGCGCTAAAGAGTTTGCTTCGTCGACGAACGGTCGTAAAAACTTAGAATTTGGTAAGACATCATTGTTGTACAACTTATTTATCATATTTATGATGTCAAGTATCGCAACCCAAGTCATACAGTGTTTTTTTCCTACAAGTACGGCCATCATTAGCGCTTCTCCTTTTGTTGCTGCTGAACGTGGGCATAATGTTTCACTCAGAAATCGATCGTATTGATCGTCCAACATCTGCAATCACATAATAAGACAGTTGAGTTAAAATAATAGAAAAGTACGAGTATTTATGTTTATCTCAAATATTTCAATTTATTCCCAGCAAACACAAAGTTGTTAGTTGTAAACTGTCAATGCCTCAATGATTCCCCCCCCCCCTCCCCACAGGGTCAGCTACACCGTGATGGTTTCTCCATTAAAAAAAAAGTTGTAAACTGTTAGTTATACAGGTAATGTCCCACTCAACACTATAGATATCACATAACGCGTGTATTATATAACTGTTACTTTGTGTATGTTATGTTGGATTTCAATTTTATAAATGTTATAACATACTCCCTCGTCGTTTCCTTCAGAAGTGTGATTTTCTTCAGATAACGCATCTTGGTTGAACAAATTCGCATCATCATCAAATAGTTCACTATGATGTTGTCCCCGAAACATAAAAATCTATTACATACTAGTATAATTAGAAGTGCATTTCAACTATTTGAGTATATTTCGACTTCACAAATGTTATAATATACTTCCTCGTCGTTTCCGTCTTCTTCAGAAGTGGAGTTTTCTTGAAATAACACAATTTGATTAAATAAATCTGCATCATCAGATGGTTCATCATTATGATATTGCTCCTGAAACTAACATCTATATGTAAGAAGTAGATTGTACGTTTTAATGTATAGATATCTACATACATTTTTTTACTCACAAGAGATGAATACAGAGTTTGTTCACACCGTCCTATATTATTTAGTTAATTGAAATTGCAAGTCTGAATTGTGAATATCAGCATCGATTCTTATTTCTTCACATGAAACATTTCGTTGTAACTGATTTGATACATCTGATACATCAATTGTTGACAAAGAGTGACTGATCTCCTTCAATACATTATAAAACTAGATAATTTTGAGGATATATACGTATATAATTAATGATGTTTAACCCTTTATTTGGCAGTTGTTGACATAATACATATGTCAATATTAAAAATATTGAAATGTTTGTTGCTTCAGAGCAACACTGCAAATAAAGGGTTAAGATGGACATAAAAACCACTTACCTCTCTGTTAGATGATTTATTTTCTCGCTTTCTTCTGCTATGGAGGGTTTGACGGGAGAATATCCTCTGTTGAATCAGGTTCTAAATATCTTTCATATTTTCGTCGAGGCATTTTATATTATATGTGAACACATAAATTTAACGTTCACTGAACTAAATGTAATACAATTTATTTATGTATTTATTAGTATGCTCCTATAGAATAAACTGTTACAATATAGCGATAAGAGAGAGGGCTGTCATCTCTGTCATATTTAAGATGTGGAATGACTCACCCTGTATAACACTTTCATATTCTTCGAGATATTTGCCTGGGGCGATTAAAATAAAACACTGTATATTGTTGTTTCCGAAACAAAGTTAAACTTTACTTTTGGATGTTAACTTCTGATAGCCGTCATTTCTTGATCTATCACTCACTACGAATCCTGAGTGTTCTCATAGGCATCAACATGGCGGAGACATCATAACTGGTCCACTAATTTGAAATTTGAAAAGACTCACATTTATCAGGTCCTCTACCCGCCATATTGAATTCGCCATTTTTATTTCTAAAAGTGACATTTGTTATTCAAAAATTTATATTTTTATCCAAATTTTGATTTGTGGTGAGACAGGGTAATGACTTATTGAACCCCTACAACCAGCCTTATAATTTCATATTTGTATATCTCATTGTCAGCACGAAACTTATCCGGTAGTAATCAAAAATAGATTTGAAAAGTGATAAACTAGTACTGTACGATAAAACAAATATTTCAAAAAATTAGGTTTCCCGTAATAAGTTCATGAAGCTGTTCGAAATAGTAATTTTTTACCACAAATTATTCAAAAACGTACTAGGAAAATTCTGCGACCAGATTTATTTTCGGTATAAAAAATTAATCACATTCCACCTACTCTGCTTTTCATTTCTGATCTTCACAGGCCTGTGTGGTTAGTAATAAAGGATAATTTTAAATTATGCGAGAACACTCTTATTTTACATACCTGATTGTACAGAGCTATTATTCGACTTGCCATATCGTCTTTTCCTTTTTCTACCGCTTCAAGAACTTATATCTGATACGTAATTGATTAATAATTATTTTAAATTTCTGTAATGTTGTTCTTCTTGCTTGTAACAGCCACCAACCTGGCAAAACAGAGGCAAATAAATTAATAATTAACTAAACAACATAGCAATATAATGCATGCATAATACATATATGTTTTCTCGAAGCGCGGTGTGCTTCACTTTTCTTTTAAATTCATAGTAAATGAAGATTTGCAATTTAGAAATATACATTTGTATACACCAACTATTGAGGTAAAATCTCTAATCTTAGTAATTAGAATTTAAGTAACAACGATTTTTGTTTCGAAACATTTTCTCGATTGAACAGAATTAATCGTTAATTTAATCAATACCAATAAGTCCGCGGAATAATACGCAAAACGTAGCAACAGTCACGGAACAAAGTAATGTAAAATATTAAATACAGAATTTTCAATTTCGTAGGCGGGACAACGAATTCTCAACGTTCGTTGTTGTTTTTCTCTCGGCGCGGTGACGTATGATGTTTTTGCGTGCCATCGTGTACACTGAAGGTCGCTCCGTTATCACTCGCTCGCCGAACGTCGAGCCGGCAGGCAGTAGCGAGAGTCGCTCTGTGCGTGTTATTAATTTTGCGTTATCGGTTTCCAAGACTCGATCGCGATGAATGTTGGAATAAAACACTATTGATTTGTACACCTTTATCAGTAACAAGTAACGTTCCCCGATTAATTAATATTAAGTTTCTGCAACTTGTAATGAGAAACAACTTGCATTTTGAGGCGACGGCTCTTTATCAACGTGTAGATATTTCACGAGACTAACTCATCTAAATTATAAATGTAAACCGTGGTATTTTGTCGCGGTTACATCTCGTTTACGCACCGCGCTTTTAATTATCTATCAATTTCGTTTCAAGGATTAGATTAAATGACAAAGATTGTAAAATATCGTTTCGTTACGGACTAATAACTATTCGTACTTCTTTACCGCAGATTATATGTACTTCCGATGCTTGTGTTGCTTTTTATATCGCCAATTCAAAAGTGATTTATCCTTCTTCCGAATCAAACATGCAAGTTGTTAATTTGAGTAATTTGTATGATAGAAAGTCACGCGATACCTATTTGTTAATGGCATTTCGTGCGTTTCGCGGTATTTCACATCGCGTACGGGAGTGCCGGAAATTTCGCGCGATCGATGATTTTCGCGAGTGTTGTGTAAGTGCAAGAAGGAAATCTGAGAGGAGGTGGAGGCCCAGGAGGCATCGGGCAACAGCGGAGAAAGCGTGAGGTAAGTGTCTTACATTTTTATGTTATTTAATTGTTACTTGTGCAAAATAAAGCATCTGTTCTGTGTTTTAATTTGATTTATGCAAATGATTCGAACGAGGAGTCGAATAAGTGTTAGAGACAAAACCATACGTATACAATTTTGTCAGTTTATGTTTAAAAGGAAGACTTTTTCAGCATTCTATATAATTATTTTAATAAATGCCTATTTTTTTAATATAAAATATAAAGTATATTTGATACAATAATTTCAATTTTACATGATTAGTCTATAATCATATGCATATTTGTATTGTTACAGTTTAACATATATATCTAGTTGACGATGTACAACTGTGCTGTTGCGAGTCGTATCAGTGAGTGATAAATTACTTTTTATTTTAAATTGACGTTGCGCATACAATTACTTCTCTTTGCATGTATACAAATTCTTATAAATATACAATGCTGAACTACAAACTGCGCTCGCGAAACGCGCGTTTTGTCATTTCTAGTAAACTATAAAAGTGATATGAGGAAACAATATACATATTACAAACATAATTGTATCAATATTTTAAAATAAAATTGCTACAACATTACTAAAGTAATATTGTAAAATAATGTCTCTGCAATATCTATGTACCATTACAGTGCAAGATGCAATGTTGCAATCTTGCGGCAATGTTGTTGCATGCTTTTGTGTTGTATGGGTCTAGATTTTACATAAACATCATTTGGTAACGTAAACAATAAATAAGTGTGTACATTTAGACAAAGTTTATTGGATAACTATGGCGTTGTAAATAGCTTTTTATAAAAGTAATATAAATTACAAGTAATAAAAATTTATTTATATATTTTTGTTACATATCACACATTAACACCTTTTTCAATTATTTCTTAGGTATTTTAATGCTATGTAATAAAATAACTAATTTTATTAAAATAAATTTGTTATACATTATGAAATTTTGTTGTCACTATTTATGACAATATTCTTAAAAGAATTAAAATTACAACATATGTATACATAGAAAGGGAATTGACTTCCACCATTATTTTTTTAAATTAAAAAATTTTTATCGCAAAAATTTAAGAGCATCGAATGCCAAATACCTACATCCGTGTATATTTTTGTTTATTATGATACTACGATTGGATTTTTGGGAGCAGGGATAAGTTAAAATATTTGGCATTTTGGAAAAATGTGATTACACCATTGTGAAGAGTATTAAATTCCATAAAATGTTTGTATAGAATATTTTTTTCATAAACCTCACATTTTTAAAGATATTCTTAAAACATGGAAAAATCTGTTATTTTTTAAGAACTTTTCTCGCTTTAAACGTCAAGAAACGTCTCTAAAAAAGATATGGGTCTAATACTTTTTATGCTTTACAACATATCCAAAGCCCATCAAAATCGGTGAGGAACACTTCCAACTCTTTCCTTGTAAAAGTTTGCATTCCATTGTATGAAAATAATCAAATAAGATTTTTATTACGTTGTGCACTAGAATGCGCAACGTATGAATTTTTACGCAACTTAACTAACACTATTAAGACAGAACAGAGTTATCTGAATAGAATGTGCGCACGCGCGCGCTCATATGTGTATGTGTATGTGCGTGTGTGTTTTTGGACACCATACATACATCCATACATACCAACAGTGACCTAAATTCAAAGAAATAGTTAAGTTTCTTCTCTTCTTTATTTTTAACTAATTGTAAGTACAACCGTAGACAAAATTATTAGACACCCACCTAATCGTTATGCTATACCGAATCTAATACCTGGAAAATTTCTATAAACAAATGTTTACTACAGTGTTTATTACTTCTATACAGTAACCAACTTTTAATAAAAATCTTTCTAGTATTAGATTTAGTACACTGTACATTACAAATCTAAATGTGTTACTTTTATACACACATACATGTAAATTAGTGAAGCACTTTTTACACATTTCTTTCCATTTAAAATCACAACATATGATTTGATATATATCTTTATACACATTTCTTTACGTTTAAAAAGATTATTTTTAAATGGCAAAAAATGTATAAATAACATTTATCAAGTCACGTGTTGCGATTTTAAACGGAAAAAAGCGTGCAAAAAGTGCTTCACCAAATTAGGTACATATATAAAAGTGTATAAAGTAATACACTTAGATTTGCAGCGTAATGATTAGGAGGGTGCTTAATAATTTTGTCGAGGGCTATATATTTATTGAAACAAATTTTTAATATGCAATTTAATTATTAAAATATTTAGTATTGAATAAATTAGCATGAAATTAATTAATATTCCATTAATTTTAATTTATAAATTAACATTTAATTTTCTATGAGAGATATTTATTGATGATTAATGAGTAAATAAATTTCATCAATTCGGTTAAAATTACTCTATATATTTACACGATTCTAAATAGCGCATTGGCGGCATGAATACAAACGCGCACGTGTTCAGCAGCCGGTTGTTCGCTAGACCTACCGTCTTCTATTGACTCACCTCGAAATATCTTGGGAGATGTGGTTCGAGCGCAAAACACCGAAAATACCGTTCTCTTTTAGTTGGCACGGCAGGCCTCACAAAATAGGATATAACGCTACACAAGACGAAATGCTGTCGTCCGAACGCACTGATTGACTGTCTAACACTGATCACATGCTGACGACGTAATTCGCAGTTAGAGAAGAGAAGCGGATGGTTAAAGCCAAAGAGTGGGGTAACACGAGATTCTTCAACATCTTTAACTTTTACACACAAATACAGAGAGAGAGAGAGAGAGAGAGAGAGAAACGCATAGAGTGTATATAAAACTATGCATAATCTTTGAAAATATTATTTTGCTGCGATAAAACAACGCAACAAAGTATTATGACAGTAAATACTGGAATATGCTTTTTACTCTTTGATTTTTTAATTTATACATATTTATACGTTATTTAAAAGTTAATTTATATCTTACATAAAATTGCAATACCGTAACTATACTTTTTGAAATACTAAATTTTGTGTTATAATAGTAGTATAGAAGAAATTTCAATATTTTTCAACCGCTTTTGCGTATAAATAAAATTTTAGTTGTTTATAATATACAAATCATATATTATTTTTTACAACTAAAGATATTAATTCGAAAAGATAAAAGACTAAAGACCCGTGACAGGATGCTAGTGTCTGAATAATTTTATTATAAATTTATTGCAAAAAATATTATTACCTCAGCCAGGATTTGAATTTGTACCTCCCTACTTACTAGGCAGACGTCTTACTCTTACCAATTCAACCATTGAGGCATGTGGCAATATTTATCACACTAAATAGTCTATTATTACCCGAATGCCATATATCGTAACTATATTCGCAACTAGAATTACGTGTCGGCTGAAATCGTCAGTCTTAAAATACAGAACAATCAAGTATCCCTCAATATTAAAAAACACCTAATGAAATTGACAACCACATATTAATGTCCGCGTAATTAATAAATTTCATAGGACTCACATGTAATGAACGCAAATTCTAAGGAATAAAAGATTAAAGAATCAAGACAGGATGCTAGTGTCTGAATAATTTTATTATAAAATACATTGAAATGAAATGTAATGGGCAAAATTATTCGATGTATCTGGCAACCCAGACAGCACACCATGTCTAAAAGACAGCTTTAAGACGTCTTTAAGTCTAAAAGACGACTTAAAGACGTCTTTATCATGTCTTTTAGATATGTGTGCTGTCTGGGAATACTTTATTAAAGGAATTACACAACGTTTTCACCGAGAATTCCGGTCCTTTCCAAGTGAAAAGCGTCTTGATGACATTCTAAAGTTAGACAAGTGCCAACCAGTCGTACCATAAAATATATTACCGATTGCGAAATGTATTACCGCAACCACGGTTTGAACCTAGATCTCCCTACTTATTAAACGGATGTCTCACCAAATTCGACCACTGAGGCATGTATCAATATTTATCGTAATAAGCAGTCTAATGTTATTTCCCGAATCCCACATAAAAATATTAACATTTACATTATCAATATCTCAATTTTTGATACTGAATAAAATTGTTTGGACATCTACTAACTGAATAGAAGAATTAATATTAAAGTACTTTTAAATAAATATTTTACCAGAAGATTATTTAGAGATCATGAAGTAGTAAAGTGAAAACTTGATTTATGTAAAATTCACACAAAATAAGATCTCCAAAAAGTTTACGGCCAAATCACTGTGTTAAAGAAATTATTAAAAATATTTTTGAAGTTACCTAATATATACAAGATATACAATATACATATACAAGAGTGCAATGTTACATATAAAATCATTAAGTCAAAATTCGTGATAAGTATCAAACTTCAGTCAAGGGGATGGGGGTATCAAGTTAATATCTGTAGCAAAAATAACATTATGCCTTTTCTTTATACCATGATAATTTTAACATAAAATTCTTTAAATTTTCATAGTGACAAGTTAAGCGCTGTAGATTGTGCAAATTCTTATTTTTCACTTAATATCTGTCTAGATCGAACAATATTATGAGACACGGTAATGTATCGTGCCAAGTACCCACATAGCACAAGACTGTCCCGTGTATTTATACGCGTGCCGGCCAGTTGCGAGTTTAATCTGAGATTATCGGATTTCAGAAATGACTGGATCGATCGAGTTTTTATTAGACTTAAACAATACCTTTCGTTTACATAACAAAACTGTCTTTGCGCTTATAGATAGCTTACAGCTAGCATGTAGATGGCACACAGATGGTCTTATAAATAGCTTAAAACTTCATAAACCGAGATATCATTAAATGACTTTTCAAAAAACGGTAAAAGAAATGCCAAGTACACGCAACGGTTATAAGATTACAATTGTTTTATAGAGAATAACGTTACTTTAAATAAAATAAGCATCTTAGGCCGCTATTCATAGTCAGATCTTATATTCAAGACCGTCTTAAGATCATCTTCAGATACTCCGTAGCCTTTATAATTTGACTCTTCTGTGTTTTAAGACTGATGATTTACGTCGGCGCGCATTTCTAGTACAGTCACGTTATATGGGATTCAGAAAATAACATTAGACTATTTATTGCGATAAATATAATATTTCCACATGCCTCAATGGTCGAATTGGTCGAATTGGTGAGACGTCCGCCTAGTAAGTAGGGAGATACAGATTCAATTCCTGTCTGAGGTAATATTTTTCGCAATAAGTTAACAAATTAATTCCTTTAAATTTATGTTCAGCACATTTGAGCCATACGGATTTTTATTAATTTGTTAATTTACGCGGACGTAACATTCGTCTCTTACTTTCATTTAATTATTTGTTCGGGGGGAGGGTACAAATGGGGGGGGGATACATTGTGGGGATTATTGTATCGTGTTCTAAGACTGACTATTTAAGTCGGCGCGCAGTTCTCGTTTTTGAATACTGTCATGATAGGTGGCATTCAGGAATCAATATTAGACTATTTATTGTAATGAATATTTCCATATGCCTCGGTGGTCGAATTGGTTGAGACGCCCGCTTAGTGAGAAAGAGGTCTAGATTCAAATCCTGGCTGAGGTAATCTTTTTCGTAATAAATTTAAAATATGAAATATTTAGACACTAACACCCTGTCACGGTTCTTAGCTCTTTATTCCTTTAAAAAAGTGTTATTGTTGATTCGAATTTCAAAATACTCTGACATTTTAATGCGATTCGCGAATTAAAAATACAAAATTGGACTTTAAATTCAATTAATTATTAAGCCAATAACCATTTAGCTCAAAGTCTCTCCACCTAGATCTCTTAATCCATTTTACTCTGATCGCTGCCAAAGAATGCAGCGACAGACTTCCCAATGTACTCTCTGATCGGTGCCAAAAAGTGTAGCGATAGAAGTCCTGATTTCGCTCTGTTCACAATCAAAGAGTGTAGCGAGAGACTCTTATTCTAACTCAAACCGAATGCTAAAACGAGGAGATAAAGGAGTGCAATTAAAGCGAATAAAATTTCAGATTTAACTCTAGCTCTAGATTCCAAAGAATAAGATCGTACATTTCTTTTCCTCAGGCCTTAGGGCTAAGGAACAACAAATACGTATTCCGAAACAAAAATTAAACTCAAGATTTTGGAAATTATCATTTTATTCCAATTGAACTCGAAATTCATTGCCCAAATTACAAGTTTATAAATAAAGACGATTTCCGTTTCTCTCTATACAAATTCCGTTATTTGTTCGGTTCAGAATAATTAAATAAATTCACATAATAGAGTAAAGCACTTAAACGTGTTGACCGAAAAACGCAGAGGAGGAGGAGGAGGAGGAGGAGGAGGAGGAGAGAGAGAGAGAGAGAGAGAGAGAGAGAGAGAGAGAGAGAGAGAGAGAGAGAGAGAGGAGGAGGAGGAGGAGGAGGAGGAGGAGGAGG